TGTAGGCTAAGGCAAAACTCAACTTATAACTAGGGTAGTCAGTAATGTTGTTGATCATATCAGTATTTCGAATTTTTATTAGAATATTCTATTTTTTTCCTAAACAGTTTAATTGATTATCTTTGGTATTAATCGACTCCCTTTCAACCCTCGTATATTAATCGACTCCTGGAGAACTCTTATCGACCCCAAGGGGTCGATATCGACCACTTTGGGGACCCCTATGTTAAACCATTAAAAATATCGTTCGATAATTTCAAAAATATGAAATTTGTGAAACCATCAGATTAGTGTTTGAAAATCGTAATCTGTTGTCAGTTTGGTTGTCTGTGGCTCAAACCCAAAACCTGTAATGAACCGTTGCACTATGATTATGGTTCAACATGCACTGAAGCTTCTTTATATGCAGTGTTGCCAACACTATCTTCAGGAATGTTGCCAACAAAAAATAAATCTACTTATTTTATGATCAACCCTAATATATGTGTCTAATACCTATAAAGGAGTCTTTTTTCCAATAGAAAATCCCCAGATAGCAGTCTTCCTTGGCAAATCACCCAAGTATTACATTGTCTTTTCCCATCATTTCGCAGTACTCTTAAAATGTCATTGCATCATCCCAGTTGAAAACCACTGTATTAGTCTGTATTATGTAGTCTTAAATGTCGCACTTTTTGGGTTTTGTAAGAGATGTTCTAAGTAAGGAATTTTGGCATGTCTTCTGTATTTTTAATTCCATTTGTAAAATGTTTGGCTTGTTCCTCATGAAGGAATATAAACTTTCCATACCAAAATGTGAATTTTTTACATCAGGGATCTTCCAAATTCATATTATTTGTTTTGAATTTTGAACATCATGTATGTTTTTTCAACATGACACAATTGTTGTTTCATGTTTCGTTCTTTCTCCTTGATCTGTCAGTTTTTTTTTGTTGGTGTGCAATTGTGCTGTATTATATGGTGGGCTTGGTATGTAATTGTCCGTAGAAGAGTTTTTCAGTTTTTGAATATAATTTATTTTGTTTTTGTAGTGTATAGTATCATTTGAATCTATGACTTGGTTGCATTTCAGTGTGTCAATATATTCCTGTACATGAATATTATGTGTGTTTTAATTCTATTCAATTTCTTTTTTATTATTATTATGAAGGCAATCTAGAAAGTACCAGCTGTTTGCAAATCATGATCTTCATGTACGATAATACCCATCCCCACAGTGTCTGGACAACAAAGAAATTCCTTGCAAGTTTTTATTGGAAAGGCTTGGACCATCCAGCACAGCCAAAATCTGGTCCCAAGTAATTATCATCTTTTCCCACAGCTGAAGACCTTGGGTGAAATATACTGTACAACAGAAGAAGAGTTGAAGGATGCAGGCAGCTGCTATGTTTCTGTTTGGACTGGCAATAAAGGAGTATTACAAAGACATGCAAAAACATTTGGATATTTGTTGTAGTGTACCTACAACAAATATCCAAATGTTGCAGGTAACTATGTTAAAAAAATAATCAAATGTATTTAGAAGTAAAATAAAATTTGTTGTTCAGAAATTGCTACTGGTTGTTGTTTTATTTCAGAATGGGTACCTACTTCTGGATTTCCCTCATATATATTTAAAGTTCAAATATTCTATTTTTTCCATTTCACTTATTTTATAATGACATTTACAATAAATTGCTAATAGAAATGAAACAAATGGAACGGAAAAAACAAATGTCTGAGTATATATGCCTGAATATATTTGATTAAGTGGCATGTTCAAACAGTAACTTCAGATGTGGAATATATTATGGTGTAGATTATTTTCATTTTAGTAATTTTCTATGGAGTATATGACACTGTAAATTATATGCAGAAAATTTCAATAATTTTTTGGCTTTTGTATTTTTTCCTTTCAAATGTAATGAATATTGCATAATATGTGTATTATTTCAATTAATCTTAAAATATTAATAATTAAAATGAAAAACAATCAATCAGTAACTTAGAAGTAAAATTTAAAAGATACTGAAGTACAATGTTAGAAACCATTGAGTTGTGTTCAACTCCTAGTGACTCTATGGATAAATAACCTACAGTGGGATCTGAGTATAGTAAGTTTTTTAAGATATTCAAGACTGTTGCCTGTAGCTTCTAAAAATCCATTCATCCATCTAGTATATTAATATCATCATCTTCCTCACTTTTTACCTTGGCAAACATAAATATCTTTTCCACTGAATTAGTAGCATGCATAATATGACCAATACATGAAAGCTTTCAATTCAAGATAATGATCAGATTTGATTTCCAATAAAGACTGAACAACCTTATGGCTGTCCATAGGACCCCCAACAGTCTTTTCTAACACTAACGCTCAGAAGAATTAATTTTCTTTCTTTCATTCTTGTGTGTGACAAGAGCACCCCTGGAAGTCAGAACTCTGACACCAGACTTCTAGAAATAGGAAACCTGTTTGAATTGTTATGTGTTATCTAATGTGTGTGTGAGCTGTCACATATGTGGTCTTATGACAAGGAATGGAGGAAGAAGTAAGAGAGGCAGGAAACTCCGGAAGTGATGCATTCAATGACAAAATTATACTAAAACAAAACTAAATTCATTTGACAGGAGTATATTCTAGATTACATAAAGACACATAGCAATAACAGTAAAAGGCTTATTGAACTATATCTATTGCCCATAAGAGAGAAAAAGTTTATATTGAGTTGCAAGTACATAAATACCTTAAAATACAGTGGTACCTCGGTATACGTCTGCTTTAGAATACATCAAATTCGGAATACGTCCTGTTTGGACGAAACAAATTTTGCTCAGTATACAACTTTTGTTCGGTATACAACTTACTTCAATTATACGTGCCATCTATGAACAAGTAGCACTATCAGTGTACTAAACCAGACTAAACGTTTGCGCTGCCACGGTTTATAACTTTGTTAAATTTCTTCTGATTTTAATTTGTATGTAAAATGTTATTATTTTTATTAATCATGAATTGTGAAAAGGCAAATGAAAAGCAACAGAAAACTAAAAAATGACTAGAATCACAATGGAACTGAAAAAAAAGATTGTTGAGAAATATGAAGGTGGCACGCGTTGGAGATTTTAACTGTTGCATGCCGTATTCCGAGAACGACGATATTGACAATCGCGAAAAATAAAGACATTATTAAATCTGCTAACGTTGTGAAAGGGGTTAAATCAAGTTCTAAACAGAGATTGAAGACATTAGATCATGTCGAGAAATTGCTTTTACTTCGATAACTGAAAAACAGTGCGCTGGCGACATCCTATCAAAACCAATTATTTACGAGAAAGCTAAAAAGATACATGCTGATCTCATAAAAAATCAAGTATGAACTAGCCAGGAAAGCGAGGTGTTAAAGCCAGCCATTTTTTTTTTCACATGAGAACGGATTAATCATTTTTACATTACTTCTTATGGGAAATGTTGGTTTGGTATACGTCCAATTCGGTATAAGTCCAAACATCAGGAACGGATTAAGGTCGTATACCGAGGTTCCACTGTAGTTCAAAAAAATTCTTAAAATATGAGGATAATTCTCAATCTGTTCTGGCTTTAGTGGTGATAAACACAGTCAAACTACACTTATAACAAGAAAGAAATTATTTATTCTCATTTTCATTATACAGCTATAAGTTACCTATCATATGATAGGTAAATTATAGCTGCAGGTTATAAGTGTAGTTTGAATGTGTTTATCACCACTAAAGCCAGAAAAGACTGAGAATTATCCTTGTATATTAAGAAATTTCTTAAAAACTTTTTGAACTATTTTAATTTAAATTTCAGCCCCATTGAATATTATAAATATTTTATTAATTTTATTATAGATAAATACCTTTGACGACTTCAATGGGAGATAATGATTCAGAGAAAATGGCAACCAAGATTTGAACTGATTACCAAGACTATTTAGTTTTACCAAGACTAAATAGTCAATTATTAGCCAATTATCAGACTATTTAGTCTTGGTAATTGGCTCATATTGACTGAACTGGACTGCTACCACAAACTGGACATTAAAAGAGACGGTTGGTCTCTTTGAAGCAGCTGAACTAGACAACCTTCTAGATCTTTTCTTGGTCCTTTTATAATTTTCCATGTTCCCTCTAAGTCAAAATGCTACCCAAAAAGGCAATATCAGATGGAAATTCCAAAATTATTCAATCCCAAATTTTTCTCTGCTTCCTCTGATGAGTGACCATTTTCAAGAAGAAGAGTTGTTGAAAAGGAAACATCATCTTTGACAAAATCTTGTCATTTCCTCATCATTTTTCTCCTGAAATTTTCTTTTTTGTTAACATTTATTTAAAATTATTAGAAATATTAAGTTTTTATAAAAACTGTAGCTCAGGATCTCACATACATAATGAATTCATATTTGAATATAAAGGAATCTCAAATCATAATTTGTATAAAAGAGTTAAAGAATATTATAAGAATATAAGATCACATAAAAATATCTATCTAGGTGCAAAACATACTGAATTGAGACCTGATTGTTTTATGGAACATTAAAGAAGTATTGGAAACCTTAAAATTAGAGTAGAACCACTGTACAGAGAAAGCAATATAAATCTAAAAAGGAAGTTTGAAGAATAACATTTAAATGTAAAGACTCAGATTACTTAGTTCTGCCTTGGAAATAACTTGCAAACACTTTTCTATGTTGTAAGAATTCATAATTTGTCAGGTGTATTTTATTTTATTATTTATTTTAATTCATTTTTATAATAAATGAATTTGGTAATGCATCATTTCATTTTTTCTTATAAAATTTCTTATTCAATATGAAAAGGAATTAATGAAATGGAATTATTGTTGACAATGAAAATTATACTTCAAAAGCAGTTGAATTTTTTAAAAATCTCTATTAAAGCAGTTTGATTGTTATTTCAAGTAAAGTTATTGGGTCAGATTTAACAGAAATCAATGAATCGATAAATTGTATTATTCAATTATATAGAACACTTACCATTAGGATGTCCTGTTAAGAGTACTCCATTGTATGGATTTTGAGCCAAAACATTTAGACGATTATGCTTAGTAAAATACTGAGCAATCATTTTTCCAACTGATATATCTAGCCAAGATAAGAAACCTTTCTCACTCTAAAAAAAGAAAATTACATAAATTTTTTGTTACTAAGAAATGATATTACTTCAATTTATTATTATATTGTGATATTAATATCATTTAGGAATTTTCTGTAAAATATTAAATTATATTATTATAAATTTGGTGTTAAGTAATATCAAGCAGACTCTTGGAGACATGCTGACTGGTTCAACCTTCAACCTTTTACAATTAGAACATTATGCATCATTACAATTTATAATTTAAAGTAAGCAGAATTATTTTTTAAATTGTAGAAATGAAAATGAGAAGATCATTATTCAAACTATTCAAAAATACAACATATGAAACTATAAAGTTTTACTGTAAAAAACCTGTTTGTTTGCAAGAATGCATTTTTGTTTTTAGAGACCACTAATTTAGAATTATGTGCAATAGTTTATTAATTTAATTAGGAAGTATACTGTACAAATTAAAATACATGTAGATGTTTAATTTCTCAATCAAAGTTAACTGAAGACAATATAATTATTTTTATTATTTGTTGACTGTTGTTGACAAAAAGCTGTGAAACTGTATCATGAAAATTTCTTTGTTGACAGAAATTTTCATGATATAGTTTCACAGCTTTTGTATTATTTTTACACTAAAATACAATATGATACAAAAGCCAAGATCATATTTCAAATAAATAAAACAAAATCAGATGAATTATTTGGATTAAAAAATTCTATTATTATATTATTAGTTTTGATTAAATTATTAATGTAATTTGTTTTAGATGTGAACAGTGCACTAACATATATAAATGTTAATTAAAAATTAATTTTATACTTTTATTTTTAAATGCATCTAGGAAAGAATATTTCTGTGAAATACAACATAAGTCATATAAACAAATACAAGTACAGTAGAACCTCGATTATCTGGACTAATTGGGGATGAAGGTAGTCCGGATAAGGAAAAATTTGGATAATCGAAACAAATACTTTAATTTGTCTTTTAATGATAATACAACATGTTTTCTTTTCGATGACATATCGGTAATATTAAAAATAAATACTGTATTTAAATTGTGATTAAATTTTGAAGAAACAAATGTTCTTCAAAATTTCTTCTCTTGAATGATAGTCATACTAGTTACATCTCTTTTCTTTTCATTTCCTTTTCTTTAATCCAAATTAAAAGCAATCTATCCATTTTTTCATGGATGGCACGCACATCTTTGTTTTTCAGATGTGATTTTTGTTACTCCTTTGGCTGCTTTATATTCTCAATGATATCTTTCATAGCTAAGATTGTACCTACTGTATAATTGTTCAAGCCATAATAATAGCAACATCAGACATCTGCCTATTCTCTACCTTGGCTATTATCTCTTGCTTGGTTCCTACAGTGAGCATAGTTCTTGACACTCCAGTCTTTTAGGGTCTTTAATATTATCACTTTCTTTTTTTAAATAAAAAGTTCAGAAAAGCATTTACAAAAATTTAGAAAAGAGAAATCAACTAGCACACAAAAACATTACTTAAATGTGTGGCCTGGACAGAATACAAAATTTGGTGTTAAAACATTAATGAATATCCAATGGAACAGTTAAACTCTCACCTTTCGAAAATAAAAACTGATGCAAAACTTAACAAGTGACCAACAGTCTCGCAAAGACTATAAAAAATTCCTTTTGTCAGAAAGGTAAACAAAAGGCTGGAATAACAATGGAGTGTTTCAAAGGTCGAAAGAATACTATCCAATCGGTATCGGGTTGAGCATCGGTGTCAACATCTCATGCACTCTGAAAGGTTTCAAATTGTCAACTGGAGACAATGGAAAACCAATTGGTATTCATTATTTTACATTGCTTCTTCTTGTGTTTGTTCTGTGAGGTGTTCATTATCCGAACATAAAAATCTTTTTCCAAAGTGTTTATTGTCCGATTTGTTCACAGTCCAAACTGTTCGTTAACCAATCAACCCACTGTAGTTGATTGTCATCCCAAGAGATGGTGTTGTAGAGGTATGGCATATACCTGATTTATCTAGCAAGTCAATCTATGCCATTATATAAAAACTTACACAGCATAGGTTGGGGGACCAGTGGGATGATAAATCTATATTTTCTAATCAATAAAAAGTTATTTTTAATGCCATAAGACAGTGAGTACATTATAGCATAACAATTGATACTTTGGCATAAAGTGTAATTAATTTTGCTATAACTGTTAATTTTATTATAAATTTTGTTATATAACAAACTTCAAACTTTGTTTTAAAAAGTGAAAGTAACACACTATTAAATAAGAAATGTTAAATATATCTTAACTATAATAATAAACAAATTGTTCTTACCGAAGTAGCTAATAAGAAATGATATCGTAGAAATTCCATACAAATGACTTGATATAATTTTTTAATGCAATGTAATTCAATTCCTTTGTTATCATAAATATAAACCCAGTCTTTTTGGGCTGTGGCAAACATTGTAGGATTATGAAGCCATTTGACATCATGTATTGATTCCATAACATTGATTTCACAAAATAATTTTTTAGTCATCCAATCAATTACAGCGAGATGTCCTCTCTTCCCTCCAAGCAAAAGATGCCTAAAAAGTCATTTAAAATTTGCATCATATTTATTTATACCATCCATTACTTAACTATTACTTATGAAAATAACATATGTTTAGAAATAATTTTAGTTTAAAACAAATTAAAATAAGAAAATTTTTTACAATCTTACAAAAATTAATACAGATGAGATCTATTTTGGTTCAATTTTCTTATCATAACAATGTATTGCTCTTCTTGGCTTGTACAAATATTGGCTTGTATAAAACAATGGAATTGTAGAAGTATGGCATATACCTGATTTTTCTAGCAAGTCAATCTAAGCCATTATATAAAAGCTTACACATTATTTAGCTGGTTATATAGTAAATAACACCAGCAAACCTTCATAATTAAACCAGCAAATAAATTTTTAATATACTTTGACAAGTACTTTCGATCCTAATTGGGATCTGCTTCAGGTCAAAATGTTCTATACAAAAATTTGGAATGCTTAAGAGCATGAAAATGTAGTTCACTTCACGCCAGCGTTTAGAAATTAAAAATATAACACTTCTGTGTTGCAACGTTATTGACAGCGATTTGTTAAATTTCAGACGTGCTCGCTAGTACTTTCAACAGTTTTTACAGTTCAACCGTCGTCTTCAGGCAAAGTTCTATTAAAACATACAATATAAGGGGAGGAAATTATCTATATTGGAGCTACCACCAGAATGATACGGTCCTGCATCCTCGAACATCAAGAAGACATTAGAAATAATAGACCAGCCACAGAATTAGCGAAAAGGTGCTAGAACAAGATTATCTTCCACTTTGGAACCATGTTAAATTACTTAAGCATTGCAATGATCGTAGGCAAATATTCATATGGGAAAACCTTTACATATCTGCTGCTTTGCCATGTAATGCGCCGACATTGGAAATACCACAGCTATGGATAACTTTATTTAAACAATCCAAGTTATAATTTTGTGTTCTGATTTTATTCCATTACTATGCACGGCACCATCAATCAATATTTATATTTTTTGGGAAGTTCAAATTATTACAGCAGGTTTCTTTAAAAATATTTATTTATTCAATTTTATTAATTTGTTCTATATTCCAACCACGCGCATTACGTAATTTGGAAAGTCCGTTAAAAGCTGTCAATTCGATTTCATCTGAAGACAATGGTTGTTGAAAGTACTGTTGAAAGTACTTTCAAAAACTGTTGAAAGTACTAGCGAGCATGTCTGAAATTTAACAAATCGCTGTCAATAATGCCGCAACACGGAAGTGTCATATTTTTAATGCTTAAGAGCAATTTTACATTCTAACAAGTATAAAAATCACACCTGTGTATTAATATTAACATTAAAAATAAACAATAAATAATTAACAAAATAAAAATTAACATGAAAATTTAGTATATATATTTGTAACAAATCCTAACATAAGTAGTTGATTTCTATTTGTTATTAATGTTGTCAGGATCGTAAAAAAAAATGAAACTGGCCTGTTGTAGTTTAGCTTCCACACCAGTTTCCAAAGCATATATTGTAAGGGCGGTGGTCTGCTTTTTGTTATCTATATCATATATCATAGGGGCCAGCTGTTTTTTAAGAGACCTTTTGGTTGATCCAATGTACAGTACATCAGATCTCTGTGAAATCTGTTGTATCTCACTGCTAAATTTTTATGTGTGAGGACCCGAACAGGGGTCGACTGAGAGGTCCGAATTATGGGTGTCGATTTAAAATAAAAAGCTCCTTTTCAGACGCTAAGGAAACGGATTAGGTGTCTCGAATGAACAATGCATTTGTTTTTTTTCGTAAATTTGTTAAACAATGGAAACGGATAAATTCGAGGAAAACGCGACAAGAGAGAGGAATCATATTCAGTCGCAACGTTGACCTCTCCCGCGCCCTTCATTAGGTTTCGAATTGTCACCAGGTGACTATGAGAGACCAATGGAGAGGCGACGACGGTTAAGAAATCTATAAAACCGTGCAACTCAAGAGAGAAAGGTTCTTGGTTCGTAGTTCTTGGTTCTTGGTGCTCCTCTTCAGAATTTTTGTGATCCTACGTATCAACAGCGACCGAGGCGGCAACTCCTGTGACTTACTGTCGCTCTCCCGTGACGTCGTAATTTGCACGGATTTGCCTTTCACCAGAGACTTTCGCCGAAGCTGTGCCGCACGCCCCGGAGCCGTCGATCTCAACGTACGACATCGAAGGACCAAACGGAGAAAGTCGGACCCTTGAAGGAACTTTTAATTTGGTCCCCGAGCTGTGTTACGTTGAAAATTTGAAGAACGTTGTAAGAATCTTTTGTAAAATAATAAACAGGTTAAAAATGGTAAACCTGTCTCAGAAAGTCATTCTGCGCCCACACGACAGAAAGAACCACTCGGCTGTCGAAAAACCCTCACCCTAATCGGCTGACCTCACATATGTTAATTTTTATTTTTACTGTTAATATCAACACACATTTGTGATTTTTATACTTATTAAAATATTTAATTGTTCCAACAATTTTAAAATGTAAAATTGCTGTCTAAGCATTCCAAATTTTTGTATAGAATGTTTTGACCTAAAGCAGATCCCAATTAGGATCAAAATCACTTGTCAAAGTATATTAAAAATTTATTTGATGGTTTAATTATAGAGGTTTGTTGATGTTATTCCTGTCCCTAATAATAATNAGACATTATTAAATCTGCTAACGTTGTGAAAGGGGTTAAATCAAGTTCTAAACAGAGATTGAAGACATTAGATCATGTCGAGAAATTGCTTTTACTTCGATAACTGAAAAACAGTGCGCTGGCGACATCCTATCAAAACCAATTATTTACGAGAAAGCTAAAAAGATACATGCTGATCTCATAAAAAATCAAGTATGAACTAGCCAGGAAAGCGAGGTGTTAAAGCCAGCCATTTTTTTTTTCACATGAGAACGGATTAATCATTTTTACATTACTTCTTATGGGAAATGTTGGTTTGGTATACGTCCAATTCGGTATAAGTCCAAACATCAGGAACGGATTAAGGTCGTATACCGAGGTTCCACTGTAGTTCAAAAAAATTCTTAAAATATGAGGATAATTCTCAATCTGTTCTGGCTTTAGTGGTGATAAACACAGTCAAACTACACTTATAACAAGAAAGAAATTATTTATTCTCATTTTCATTATACAGCTATAAGTTACCTATCATATGATAGGTAAATTATAGCTGCAGGTTATAAGTGTAGTTTGAATGTGTTTATCACCACTAAAGCCAGAAAAGACTGAGAATTATCCTTGTATATTAAGAAATTTCTTAAAAACTTTTTGAACTATTTTAATTTAAATTTCAGCCCCATTGAATATTATAAATATTTTATTAATTTTATTATAGATAAATACCTTTGACGACTTCAATGGGAGATAATGATTCAGAGAAAATGGCAACCAAGATTTGAACTGATTACCAAGACTATTTAGTTTTACCAAGACTAAATAGTCAATTATTAGCCAATTATCAGACTATTTAGTCTTGGTAATTGGCTCATATTGACTGAACTGGACTGCTACCACAAACTGGACATTAAAAGAGACGGTTGGTCTCTTTGAAGCAGCTGAACTAGACAACCTTCTAGATCTTTTCTTGGTCCTTTTATAATTTTCCATGTTCCCTCTAAGTCAAAATGCTACCCAAAAAGGCAATATCAGATGGAAATTCCAAAATTATTCAATCCCAAATTTTTCTCTGCTTCCTCTGATGAGTGACCATTTTCAAGAAGAAGAGTTGTTGAAAAGGAAACATCATCTTTGACAAAATCTTGTCATTTCCTCATCATTTTTCTCCTGAAATTTTCTTTTTTGTTAACATTTATTTAAAATTATTAGAAATATTAAGTTTTTATAAAAACTGTAGCTCAGGATCTCACATACATAATGAATTCATATTTGAATATAAAGGAATCTCAAATCATAATTTGTATAAAAGAGTTAAAGAATATTATAAGAATATAAGATCACATAAAAATATCTATCTAGGTGCAAAACATACTGAATTGAGACCTGATTGTTTTATGGAACATTAAAGAAGTATTGGAAACCTTAAAATTAGAGTAGAACCACTGTACAGAGAAAGCAATATAAATCTAAAAAGGAAGTTTGAAGAATAACATTTAAATGTAAAGACTCAGATTACTTAGTTCTGCCTTGGAAATAACTTGCAAACACTTTTCTATGTTGTAAGAATTCATAATTTGTCAGGTGTATTTTATTTTATTATTTATTTTAATTCATTTTTATAATAAATGAATTTGGTAATGCATCATTTCATTTTTTCTTATAAAATTTCTTATTCAATATGAAAAGGAATTAATGAAATGGAATTATTGTTGACAATGAAAATTATACTTCAAAAGCAGTTGAATTTTTTAAAAATCTCTATTAAAGCAGTTTGATTGTTATTTCAAGTAAAGTTATTGGGTCAGATTTAACAGAAATCAATGAATCGATAAATTGTATTATTCAATTATATAGAACACTTACCATTAGGATGTCCTGTTAAGAGTACTCCATTGTATGGATTTTGAGCCAAAACATTTAGACGATTATGCTTAGTAAAATACTGAGCAATCATTTTTCCAACTGATATATCTAGCCAAGATAAGAAACCTTTCTCACTCTAAAAAAAGAAAATTACATAAATTTTTTGTTACTAAGAAATGATATTACTTCAATTTATTATTATATTGTGATATTAATATCATTTAGGAATTTTCTGTAAAATATTAAATTATATTATTATAAATTTGGTGTTAAGTAATATCAAGCAGACTCTTGGAGACATGCTGACTGGTTCAACCTTCAACCTTTTACAATTAGAACATTATGCATCATTACAATTTATAATTTAAAGTAAGCAGAATTATTTTTTAAATTGTAGAAATGAAAATGAGAAGATCATTATTCAAACTATTCAAAAATACAACATATGAAACTATAAAGTTTTACTGTAAAAAACCTGTTTGTTTGCAAGAATGCATTTTTGTTTTTAG